GTAACCCGAAACCCCAAACCCTAAACCTTAAATTCTTAAGCCTAAAACCCTAATGCCAAAACCCCATTCTCAAACCCAAAACCTAAATCCTATATCTCAAAACCTCTATCTCCAAATCCAAAACCCTAAAGCCATTAGCAAAAACCCTAAACCCAATTTATGATTCGATTTGGGGTATAAGGTTTAAGATTTAAGATATGAGGTTTAGGGTTTAGGGTAAAGTGTCTTAGGTTAAAAGGGGCATTGGAAGGTCTAAAAAAATACTTTAAAAAGTTGTTAACTACTAACTCTTGGTTAACATTTCTAAAAGTCTAGTAAACGATAAAGCAAAATAATATCGTACAATTCATATAATCAACCCCGCCTAATGAAATAAAGACTTGTAATTATTGTATTTAAATCATCTAGTAATAATGGAGGAAAATCTATTACATTAATATACTTTTTTATTTTGGATAACCTGAATATGCTATGGCTTTAACTTCTAACAAATCAAGTTTTAGAAGTGTGCAGCACTAGAGGTGCCTCCATACATGTTGATATGGCAGTAGAGCACAACAATCAGCCCAACTTAGATGAGAATGGTTGATCAATATACACAATGAATGTTCAAACACACAAGCGCATTACAACTCCTCGTGTTACATATGCATGAAGATCAACTAAACTGCATCATAGGCTTCAAATTACCAACTTATATGGCATCATTACGCCAGCAATATTCACTTGCTAGAGCAAATCTGGGTTGATTCTATAATAGTTAGAAGGGCACACTGTCCAATACAAATATTTAATTGTTCTTCAATTTTTGTCATTTTCTTCTTCATTGTCAAATTTTCCACTTTCGTTTTCGTTCACTACAAAGGTCCAGCTATCTCCCTCCTCTATTTCCCATTGTTTTTTTAGTTCATAAATAGCTTTGGATGCTGCAGCAGCAATGGCTGGATTGGTATCTTCTGCAAGTCTCTACAACAAGAACCAAAGTAAACAATTTCACCATAAGGGAGAAAGATGAAACTACGACCTGTCAAAAGTACTACTTTCATAAATCGAATTTCATTTACGCTCACCTGTAATGCTCCCATCCCTGCATTTCCAAGAGTCCACATGGATGGTGCTGCCGCCAGTGCATTGGCTAATGCTTGTCTAGATTCACACACACCCATTGACAAAGCATAATAAATATACAGATATTAGTTAGTTAAAAGAGAGGAAAAGCATATTCTGGAATGTATTAATGAAAAGCTGTGGTAAGCTTGTTCTTTACTCTTCATTTTTCATGACTTAATGTATAGTTCAACATTGGCTAACTCAGTATAAGGGGAGTTCTACAAATGGATATTTGAGAATTTACAAAATGTGACAACCTAATGAAAAATATGTCTTTAATAGAATACGAGTTTAAATTTGTCGAGTCAGCTATGCTGATGCCCATCAAGGCGCATAGTAGTGAGCCAAAAAAAATCCTGCTTGCTACGTTATTGCCAGAAGCTTTAGGAGCAAATAAATTAAGCAAAAGGAAATTATGGTTTTTTGCTTAGCTATGTACATTTGATAAAACATGCAAGTATATTTTTTGTGAAATCGTACAATTATAATAAGCTCACCTAGTACTGACATCAGGAGAACTAGAACACTCTGCCAATAGAGATACACTTTGTTTACCATCCATTGCATCAAGGTCGATAAGAGTTGTAATTAACAACTCAAGCTGCTTCCAATGGGGAAAAGTAGCTAAATTAAATACTTAACTAATGACCAAGATCAGATAGGAACATGAATATTAAGAGTTGAAACCTCTTCAGGGTCAGTGTAATCAATTCCATCAGCTTCAGAAAGCGCTGATGCCATACTCCAATAAGCTTCCTGGACACTTAAACTTTAGGATACAATTGCTTCATGTCCTGATTCAATTAGGTAAAGGGTGATACATGCATACATGCATATATGCATGTCACCATAAGTAAAAGTAACAAAAGAAACAAAAAAAAAAAGGACCTGAAGAGCCATAATTCGGTCAGTAGACACATCCCTGGTAAAGAAATCTATGGTTTTTCCATTCTTCTCCAGCCTTATACGTCCTCTTAAATCATTTTCTGACAAAGGCCCTTTATCTCTGCCTGGAGGACTGTATCTCAACATAATCAGAAACCACTCAAAGCTTCCTATAATTATAAGGAATCGTTCTAGTTATACTTACAATTTATACACCTTTCTCACCATCATGTCATGCATGTTTTTGATAAACTGCATATTTACAAGGTAGAAAGTAAATTTCCTTCTTCACAGATAACAGCAAAAAATATGCACCTTCAAGTTGAAATAGATAAATAAAAAAGAATTAGTTAAGTAGAATAATGCCAGATGCCAGAAATTACAAACTGATTTAAAAAAAAAAAAAATCATTCTGCGGTCAACACTTGCACAATATATAACATCACCTCCAAGGCCATAAGGGCATCTTCCATTGCACGTTGCTTAGCACGGATGTCGGCAAGGCGCAAATCAGCCTGAAAGTTAAATGGTTATGTCAAAAGGAATCATGAATTCTCTTACTATTTGTAGGCATTTCGAATCATCAACTCCTCATTTTTTTGTGAACAAATTGCTAAAGGAAACAAAATGATTTTTCTAATCTAATGTGCCAGGTGATATGTGATTTAAGAAAGGGATGTAGGAATATGTTTAAAAATGTGAGATACATAGAAAATATAGCATAATTGATATTGAAACAATGATATAGGACATGGGGGGAAAAGGGACAAAAAGAACAAGATTCAAATGACATCAATGTTTTAAGAACATGTGTAGCATTTTTTTGTTGAAAATAAGTAGATCCCATGACAACTATATCTTCAAGCTACTAAAACAATTGCACTATACATACATAAAAGACTAAACATAAAATTGAAATAAGAATTCCATCTGATGTCTCAAAGTTTATGCAAAGTGTCAACTTGAGGGGCTAAAAATATATAATTACTATATTTTACTAAGAAAAAATTAAAAAATTAGTAGGTAGGTAAGGGAGAAAGAGAGAGTGGAAGAGTGTGATGGCCTTAATAACAATTCACCAAAGAGGTTTGCAATGAGAATAACCCTATCACGATTTATAGAACCCTGAATACAATAATAAAATAATAATTTAAATCTAAATGAAATAAAATAAAACCCAATTTAAATAACAAAAGAAAACATAACTTTCAAAATAAAATAATTACTCAAAGACCAAAAAAAAAAAAAGTAATTAAATTCTAATCCCTTCCACTTCTAGTGTACATCTCAAACTTCCTATCAAACAAGTCCAGTTACTTGAATTTCTTAATTGCCATGAATAACAGAGCATACAATAATCATAATGGTTTTCTTAGTTTCATAATTCATTCATTTATTCTAACCTTAAAAATGTACTTCAAAACTGAAGCCGTTTATCCGTATGTTGTGTATAAATATTAATATAAAGAAATACTTCAACACTCCCAAGATGTGTCCACGCCAACCCATGCCTATCATACAGAACTAAACTCGATCCAGCCCTATCTTAAAGGTGTCCGCCAATCAGGAGTCCATAGCTTCAAAAGTAGAAATACAGATTTTCTACAAAACGGGAGAGAGAGAACAGTTGTACTCTCACGAAAGGTTGTGACATTCTATAAATAACACTTCATTTAAAAAACCAAAATGCAAGTACAACAAAAATGAGAGATGGTGAAAATATACAATTCGGCAGACAAATATAAAACCTCTATTTTATATCACTTGAAACAAATATCTTAATTTGCAGGTGCGTAATAATTATGTTTTTACCTCTAAGGCTCCGTCACTCCAATGCTTATCAGCAGCACTTTTCAACCTCAATTGAGCTTGATCCTTCAAGATCTTTAGATTATACATAAAAAGAAAAAACAGGATGAAATATATCACTAACGCGCAGCTTTTTTCTCTCCAGCAAAACAAATTTAAAGACTCTAGGTGATACAGACAGAAGCAATGCGATTAAGGCGCTCAACTCTTTTCTTGACATCACGATCAATTCTCTCAGTGTCTTCTCTAGCACGAGCTACACAGCAAAAGAGAAGTAGATCTCAGTAAACAATAAACAAACCATACATGCATAAAAATCATTATAGAATGCAGTGCTAAAAAAGTGCTGCTCCCAACTCCCCCTTTAAGAGAAAAGAAAGGGTTAAAAGGAAGTAAACATGCATGCGTGTACAGAAATAAATTACAAGAGGTACTCACCAGGCTTAGCATGACATAGTCATTAATATTGTAATATTCCCCTATTGCTCCAAAAAATAATTTCCTAAATGCTACAAAACCATTCATGATTTAATCATACAGAATATTCTGGGTTTGTACACTTTGCGATTACTTATCATCTTTGCTTCTTTCTTTCGGTTGATGGGGCAAGGGAGTGGAGGGAAACGGATAAACAGAACAGTCCTGGTAATATGAAACACAGTAGATTTGCATGTGTATGCTCCAACAATTATTACCTCTACCAAAAACAGTTCTGAATCAGATGAATTAAGCGTAAACTAGAACAGCACATTATTAGAACAAGGTAAATGAGCTAACCATCAAGCTTGAGAAATTCTGTCCCTAGAAAAGCAACATCTTGGCGTGCACGGGCATCCAACTTCAATATGCCACTGAGGAAACAAATAGTTAACAGTTAATTCCATGGAACTAAAAACTATGGCATCCCTAATGAACGGTGAACTTTTTTAAGTGAAGCTAGCTTCAAAATCTACTGAAGAGAAGTGGCTTGATGAACAATTGTGGAAGTACATTTTCAGTAGAAGAAGTATAAGATAACCACAAGTCACAGGACAGTACCGGGAGAGCAAGACAATGTCATGACGAGCCCTTTCATTTACAAACTTTGCATCATTGCAAACAAATCTACAAGCTTCAGCCAAGCCCCGACTAGAATGACTGTGGTAATCTTTCTCATCTTTAGTACGTACACTGCACATATTAACCTCTGAAATTTAAGTTTGAACCATGGCATAAATTATAAGAAAAAATAAACAGTACCATTCATATGATACGAAAGACAAAGTTCTAGTTTGGCCAAGAATAAAACTGAGAGTCTGGGAGAGAAATCAAGGGGAAATGTTCACAAATAGTTCACAGCATAAAAAGGTAACACGATATATGAAATGGAAATGTCAACTAAATAACCATTGGTCTTCTACCTAGTTAAATCTGAAACATCACTGTAAGTTGTAACGCATTCTTTCTCTTCAGTATTATTTGATCCTGATGATTTGCATGAGAAAGATCTCTTGGAGATAAAATTGGCAGGATTTTTATAGATGCACCCAAAAATATCATTGGATAAGGTTGATCCCTCTACCAAGAGACATATATGGTTCAGTTGTCCATGTTGGACTCCATGTCTTGGAATTTGTACCCTGTTGTTCCTTGTGGACATCAAGAAATTGTGCTTTTCGTGTGATCTACTACTGATTGTCTGATGAGTCACTATAGGACCATTTGAAACCTTGTTTGCAGTAAGTGCCATCAGGAGTTCAAAATAAGAATCAGAAAGGCTTTGCTCTCATTGCACTTTAAACATCTCAACCTGTATTACAAACAAACAAAAAGGGAATAAGAGCTTGAGTCTACAATGAAATTGTGGATTTTGCAATCTATGCATGCCTTTGACCGCCAAGGAAATGGCCTAATCTTTGTTGTTTTCCGTCAACTGAAAATATGGCACATACAGGAATATCATCTCCAAACACTGAGGAAAAATATTTCAAATCCGTGAACACGTTATACCTTAGATGAGTAAAATCACTCAAACTTGAAAAATACCCTATAATGATCATCTCTCCAACATGGCATATAGATAGATAATCAAAATTTATTCCATCAGCATCAGAATGTCATCTTGAATATGATCAACTAAGATTCAGATCAAATGAAAGAAAACAGAACTGCATCTGCATATCGATAATGAAACTTAATAAAAACCCCATAAAAATACCAAAAACAATACCCATTGAAGAAAAAGAAGCAGTCAAGGAAGCAAGCGCGATGGACTTTAGGAACTGACCTGTAGCGAACTTCTTGGAAGGAAAACGCCAGTTGATCCACGAAGTCCAGTATATAGAGTGCAACGAGGGAGGAAGGGGCCCATAACGTGGGAGAGAGATGAGAACCACAGCTGAACCTGTGGCTCGTCGAATGCCAACAACAAATGAACAAACTTTCAATTTCTTTCCTTGTTGTGGCCTGTAGGTAGAAGGTCGTTGACGGCCCCCCAAGGAAGAAAACGAGGCCCCATATAATTTTGAATGTTTTTTCAGGCCCATGAAATTGATGTGAGAATGTGCTTTGATTTAAAAATCTAAAATACCCAAATGCAAAAGGAAGATTTTATTCTATAATTTACAATTGGGTGTTCAGATATATGACCCGTTCGAATTTTAACAAGTAATTTTCTCTCAAACTATCATTTACTGAAAATGTCATGTTAACTTAAAAAATAACAAATAAAAGTTATGCAATTGACAACAACACATTTTGATTTAACAAGTCAATTTTTAGTTGGATTATGTCACGTATTTAAAGTAAAATTTCAAGTTACTCCAAAAAAATTAACAAGTCAAAGTTCTACAATCGGAGACAATGTATGCAGACTTTAACGGGTCAATCTTTGATCATCATAGGTTTCATTTTTAAAATAACATTTCAAGTTATTCTGAAAAATTAATAAGTTAGAATTTCACAATTAATAGCCACGTATATGGATTTTCAAAAGTCAATAGATGAACTTTAAACAAATAATGACTTGGAAAAAAATTACTTGTCAAAATTCAAATACTTTGTTATTAACATCTGAATATCTAACTGTGAGTGATAGAACAACATCTTGTATTTATATCAAGAGTATTTTAAACTTTTTATATTGAAACGTATTTTCATTGTAGTCCTGTGAGCTGGCAAAAGAATTTCATAATTATAAGGCCCCAAAATCCTATTATGTTCATTGGGGGGTCCTTAATGACATTTTTGTTACAAATTTTGTTATAATGCCAATCATTATACTATGAATATTATTATTTAATAAATTTTATAAGGTGCTGAATCGATCCACTATGAGAAAGATACATCCTATAAGTCATAAAGCTTATCTTATATATAACCATGTTATTAAGCCCTTTGACTTGAGATCATCATAAATTCTTGCATAATAACTACCGAATTTTGACTTAATTAAAAGTCACCTTTAATCAAGTGATCATAAAAGTTATGATTGTATTTAGTGATATTCATATAAAGGGATATGAGTGGTCAAGATAAAATTTATCCCCCACATTAATTAAGAAATATCATTGGGCCCCTCGATGAGAAAAACTAAAAATATATATGGCCATACTACAATAAAAAGAATTTTTTCATAATTATAATCAGTCCACTCAGACATTGAGAAAGTAATGATTAAGTAAAGGAGATTGACAATTTCATGTCTCATACTTGATTGAAATATCGCGTGATAAAAGAGATATGATACAGTTATATGATAGGTTACATTGAATCATCAATCCTTATATGAATTGGGTAGTCACAATATTTTACTAGATGCAGCTTGTAACTTGTGGGTAAGTAGTGTTATCGGCCTACTGACAACTTCATATAAGCCTATAGGATCACACCCTATAACAGCCCAACTCGAATTATAATGTTCAAGTTCATTAAATCTGAAATATGTCTAAATTTAATGAATGCGATGCTTTATTTAAGGTGAACGAATTATATATATATATATAATATATCTGTGTGTGTCTCTATGTGTAAATGTTTATTAGATAAATAATCAAATATATATATATATATATATATTTGTATGAAATACAAAATTCAAAATATAATATTATATATATTTGAAATATATACTTGTATATATATATATATATGATATATATATATATATATTATACTGTGTTAGTTTTAAAATTTAATTTATATGACAAATTAAATTTAATAACTATCATGATATGAGAAGATATCATATCAGTTTTATAATTTAAATTTATAAGATAAATTTAAATAACATATGATATCATAGATTTAATTTATGAGATAAATAAATTTTATTTCATTGGCTCAAGATATAATTTTTGAAATAATTGTGATTTTTTGAAAATTCATAAGGAAAGACAGAAAAAACTCTAATCATTATATATATAAAAGTAAGGTTGAAGGCTACAAAAAGACACTACATGTCTATTTTTAGATTTGCTGTAATTCTATATTTTGGGATGTCTTTCCTATAATTTTGTGCTCCAAAGTTAGGTTTAGGGCTAGGCTCTAAATGAGTTATTATTTTTTTAATGTATATAAAATATATTATTTAGGATTGGAGTTAGGTGCGGCATGAATTATTATTTTTTAAATGTATTAAAAAATAAATTTTATCTATTTCAAATCCAAATCTAATCATATTTGAATTCAAATTACTATTTATATATTTAAAATTTAGAAAAAAAATGTGTGTTTAAAATTTCCTATTTTTCCTTGTGATTTTCAAAAATTTCAAAACACCTTAAATATTTGCCAAAAATTAAGGTTTATATGATCAATCATATAATAAATTTGAATAAAAAATTATTGATATATCTTGGGTGATTTTCCAAAATTTCAATCATATAATAAAGTATATATATATCTATTTGAAATTTGAATATATAGGTTTTAGTTATGGAATAAAATATTATTAAATACTAAAATTTAAAATTACTCAAAATAATTATTTATGCTAAATATGATTCAAATTTATGAAGAAATAGTAACTATAATTTCAAAGCTTAATTCTGTTTTGAATTTTGAATTTAAAATTACTCACAATAATTATTTATGATAACCAATGATTATATTAGATTAGTAATTTAAGTCCAAATTTCCTCTAACGAAAATATTATACCAATTATAAATAAGTGTGTTTGGCTACAATTTCATTCCATGCTTTCAACTTCAACTAATTCATGTATAATTCATGCTCTTTTTTATAGGATAATTAAATTTTTACGAGTTATGAAACCATCTATTTGTTCATTGGTTATTCCTCATTGCTATAAATTTTTCTTAGCTTCTCCAATTTTTAAAGTAAATTGTTTGACATATCACACCTATCCACAAGCATCTAACTCCAACATCCACACACTATTTGGTGTCTGTAAAGCTGACGCCATTACAATTGTTGATTACGCAACATTTTCCCTTGCCTCTAAATTTCAATCTCAATCCTACTGCAACTTTTTTTTGGTAACTGTCTTCAATTGGCATACATGAAAGGAGCCTAGAGATAAATTTGCTAAATAGGTGAATAATCTAACCCTGTCTTTAAATTTTATTATGGTTGGCATCAAATCTTAATTGGCTCAAATTTTGTATTTTTCCTGATTATCTATATTTTTTTTAGAATAATGTCTGAGCTTATTGAGATATTGTAGTTTGCACGATGGTAATAATATTTCATTGCAATATAGGTTTGCGTCTCAATCCCAACAAGCTAATATGTAGCTACTAATTTTTTATTACCAAAACATGTTATGGTTGGATGACAATTAACTTTTGGATTGCAACTCACCCAAAATTAACTCTACTTGAAGGAAAAAGAAGGCTCCATTAAGTAAGGATGCTCATGTAATTAGCTGAGTGTCATAAAGAGCAAGGAGAAAGCAAAAAGCATATGAAACAGTACATAATCACTTTGGAAGAAACTTTAACCATTTGCTGTAATAAGAAGGGCAAGAATATTGACAGGTTTATTGCATGTTGAAATTGCCACTTGAGAGGTAACAGGCCAAGCCATTGGATTAGTGTTGTCATTTGTATAACAAAGGAAGTTAATCCCGATCATATCTAATGACTAATTTGAAGGCAAATTAGGTAACAAACACCCAACCTCCTCTTGGGTATTAATTGAAACATCCACATTATTGAATGATAGTATTTTTAGTTGTTTATGAAATAAGCCAAAGGTGAAATTTAAGCCAAAGTAACTTTTTCAATGTTCTAAGTGTCTTATTTGTAATTTTCTACTTTAGAAGACAGTTTGTTTATTAATTTTTGGATTAGTTCAAGATAATATTTTTAAATATTAATATATATATATATATATATATATATATAAAAATTAATAGAGTAGCTAAAAGATACATAGTTTCTAATTTCTAATTTTAAATTTTAAAAGATATGTAAATAATGTAAATAAAATTTTCTATTTAAATGGTAATATTTTTAATTAGATGAAATGAGGCAGGGTTAGATTTGATACTCTTCCTCAATTTTTTTTAGGGTACCTTTTTAGTGATTGATTTTAAATTGGATTGAGGATTATGTGATTAATTAAAAAAGCTACCCTAGGTCATTTGTTTTGATTTTATTGTAATTACCTAAAATAATAATAATATCATCCTATATCAATCTAAAATATTTTTTTACATAACTATAACCGATTAAGATGTTACAAATATTAATATTAAGATTCAGATCTAAATATATTAGGGAATCAATTTAGATTTTCGTTAAGATTTTGAATTTTTTTATTTCTATAATATGATTATGTGGTTTCAATGTTAATAATATCCTATTTTTAAATTTAACTATTTTTTTGAAAAATATTTAAATAGTATAATCTAATATGTTGGGTCGATTTTGATTTAATTATTATATAATATAGTTAATTTTTTAATTTTTAAAAATTATGTTTCTAATTATCTTCAAAAATATAATTGTATTATATAATTATTATTCATGTTGGATTTAAGATTAGTAAAATATTTAGATTTAAAATTTAAATATGTAAATGAGATAAGTTAATGGTGCAAAACATTATCACAGTCATGTATCATTGGTAAAATGATTTTGCCAAATTAATCATATCTTCTAGAAGTATTTAAAATTTAAACAAAACTGTAATTTGAGTAAGATAT